CATCAAGAACCCTTCAATATCAAGGCATCTCCTTCCCTCTTTTTTTCCCCTGTACCACTACTACTTCGAATTCACTAAAGCTGATGTTAACGAGTATGGGCATTACAAGAACTGTAATTGTAGTGGTGTCTGATGTAAGAGTGGTACGATGGTGAATTTACTGCCCTTAGCATTCCCTGCATCCGAAGTGAAGAATTAATAATAATCTAACGTTTATCTTGTTATTTTGTTTGTCTATCTTCAATCTGCCTCTCTCGAGACCCGGGTTTCTTTATATAAGAACTGTGGTAAAAACTAATTACAAAACGGTAACTAGTCTGTAGTGATATACGCCTCAGAGGTAAACAGAACGAAGCCTAGAAAGAATCGGATTTACCAACGTTCTTAATGGTATTCCAATAATCAAGTACACAAGGATAAAACAAATTATGGATAAATAAGATATGGAGACCACACACCCACCCTTTCAATTCAATTCAAGTTTATTCTCTATAATTGTTACAATGTGGGGTTTACAGAGGGGACCACTAGGGCACCTAGCCTGGCTAGGCATTTCGAGCAGACTTAGATTAATTCTTAACATTAAATCCTTACAGATTATGGTATTAAGGCTAAGTGACTACATCATAATTTGTGAGTTTAGCAATGTGAATACTTTTGTTTTGGCACAATACAAAGTGTCTATATTGGAGTATCATAGGCAAACTTATGACTAGTTAGGATTTATTATTTTAAGATTAAGATTAGTATTTCTGGGTTTATAGTCAGTGGGTGAGCGAGTGCAATTGTGAACCACCAGGTGGTTATCATGTAGTTAGTTGTCGGGGTGGATCAGGGAGATAAGATGTTTTCTAACTGTAGTTTTGAAAGTGATGAATGTGTCTACAGTTCTAGAGTTTTCAGGTAGGGTGTTCAGATTTTAGGTCCTTTGAAATACATTGAATTTTTGTAAAGGTTTAGTCGAACACGGGGAATGTCAAGAGATGTTTGTGTCTGGTGTTATGCCTGTGGATCCTGTCAAATCAAGAAAGCATTTTAGGTCAAGGTTAATATTGGAATTTAAGGTCCTGCAGATATAGATTGCACAGCAGTAAGTGTGGATGTTCTGAACAGGGAGTAAGTTTAGATCTATGAAGAGTGGGGGGAATGGGGTGTTGCCAGGGATGGGATTTAGTGATTATTCTTACCGCGGTTTTTTGTTGGGTTATTATTGGCTTTAGGCGTGTTGCTGCAGTTGAACCCCAAGCACAGATAGCATAGGTGAGGTATGGATATATAAGTGAATGGTACAGTGTGAGAAGTGCAGTTTGCGGCACGTAGTATCGTATCTTGGAGAGGATCCCCACCGTTTTGTATACTTTTTTTGTTATGTGTTGGATATGGGTGCTGAAATTTAGGTTGTTGTCGAGGTATAGGCCAAGGAATTTGCCCTCATTATGTCTGGCAATTAGAGTGTTGTCGATCTTAATGTTAAGTTGCGCAACACCTGCTCTGCTACCAAACATAATATAGTAGGTTTTGCCAGTGTTATGTGTAAGTTTATTGGCTGTCATCCAAGTCGATATTTTGAGCAGCTCCTCGTTAACAATGGTGTTGAGGGTGGCAAGATTAGGGTTGGGAGATGATATAAGTCGTGTCGTCAGCAAAGAGAATGGGTTTCAGGTGTTGGGATATGTTTGGAAGATCATTGATGTAAATGAGGAAGAGCAGGGGTCCAAGGACACTTCCTGCGGAACTCCAGTATCAAGTGGCCGTATTGATGAGGCTGTGTCTTTAATGGTGACATACTGATACCTATTAGAAAGGTAGGATTTAAAATATGCAAGCGCATGGCCTCTTATACCATAGTGGTCAAGTTTGTGGAGTAGGATGCCGTGGTCTACTGTGTCAAACGCTTTTCTTAGGTCAATAAAAATTCCTAGCGGATATTCCTTATTTTCCAATGCTGTGTAAAGCAGGTCTAGCATTTTTATAATTGCATCATTAGTGCTTTTATTTTTCCTGAATCCAAATTGGCAGGGGTTGAGTATGTTTTGTGACGTTATAAATGAATATAGTCTCCTGTGCACGAATTTCTCGAAGATTTTGGATAGCAATGGTAAGTTTGATATTGGCCTATAGTTGTTCATGTCTGTAGGGTCACCACGTTCATTTATTGGTGTAACCCTTGCTGTCTTGAGTAGTGTCGGGAAAGTGCTAGTTTCTAGTGACTTGTATTTCATGAGATAAAGTTAAGTTTACAGAAAAACACTGAAGGGTCAACGGGCTGGGAAGAAATGCGAGATAAATAATATATATATATATATATATTATATATATTATATATATATATATATATATATATATATATATATATATATCGTGCTCACTAATTCTTAAAAGGAAACACTATAAAGCAAAATAAAAATCACTCAACCAACAAGCACACAAATATCATACAAAGTTAAAAAAAAAATGAATTAAAACACCCATTATATTGTTGTCCAAAGCGTTTCACAAATGAATCAGCAATTATAAAATCGTGTAGTATAGACTATACATGTGCTGGATACTAGTAATTTGTCCGATTTTTTTATATGAATGAGGCTTCGTTCTGTTTTGTGGGTTTATTTCATTATCTGAAGATTGCAACAGTAGTAAAAGAGTTACCCCACATAAATATCACCTATCAGATATTTCGCGTGAATATGTATTGAAAAGCTAAATAAATTGAACACGTGAGCTTATATTAAAGATCACTGGACCAGATCAGATTTGTTTACAAGTGTCTTACAATGTAACTTGTAAAAATAAACCTAGGATAATCCAATAAAGACAAACAGTGACTTACTTCCGTGTTACATGGATATTAGCTCCATAAATATGTTAAATTATTAACAATAAAAGAAATATTAAATGAATACATAAATCTCTTGAAAATCACTTAAATATATTTATTAATGAGTTTCATCTGATTAACATTAATAAAAAAAGCCAAGCAAAAATTAATATCAGTAACTTTAAAATATCAGTAACTTGAACATACTAGTTACACGAATACATTACAATATATCGGTAACGCATATATCAGATACATAATTATCTTATTTTTATCACTATGTCCTCACGGGAGGCTCCCCGATGATACCGGCGAGGCTGTGCTTGATCCAAGGAACTGGACTACCCCCTTCCCCCCGCGAGGGAACCCGATTACTCATTTCCTCCCAGGGGCCCCACGGGCCCACCGCTCACCCTTAAAAGCAATATCACTCTTAATAATAAACAAAAAATTAATATAGTGTATTCTACACGAATTAGTTACATGTATTTAAATGTTACATAGATACAGACATGCCATTTTATTGACTCAAGAAATCGTAATGACACGATTGCAAATAAACCAATAAAACTCCAGCCCGACGGGCTGGAGTTTTGAGACTATGACCGCGGGTTCAATCCCGGCCGGGGGTATGGTTTATGCCATTTTATTCCTTGACATTAATATTAAAAGTAAAATAAACAATATGAACAAATATATTAGATCAATATCTTGGATCATAAACATTTTAACAATGCAAAAAATTACTATCCTTAGTTTCTGCAGCATCATTCATAAGGTATTCTTTAGTTCTATTATGTTGTTTCTGCTAAGGCTGACCTTGACATGATCATATAACCCATGCCAATGAAAAGGTGAAATGTAGTTATGCATTTCTTTATCAGTTTATTTTACTTTGCTTGCAATATAACAAGTCTAATTCCAACAAAAGAACAGCACATTGTATATATTTAGGACAAAAAAAAAATTTATCGATATTAACCAATCCATGAAACCAACATGGGACACCATGAGAACTATTACTCAACACAGACAGCTGAGTGCATTATTACTTAAAATACAGACAGTTGAGTGCGCTATAAGATACAGACAGCTGAATGCACTATATGATACATATAGTTGAATGCACTATATGATACATATAGTTGAATGCACTATATGATACATATAGTTGAATGCACTATATGATACAGACAGCTGAATGCACTATATGACACAGACAGTTGAGTGCACTATATGGTGCAGACAGTTGAATGCACTATAAGGTACAGACAGCTGAGTGAAGTATGAGATACAGACAGTGCATTCTGTATCATATATTATTATTATAATCAAGGGGAAGCGTTAAACCCGGAGGATTATACAGCGCCTGGGGAGGGGTGTGGAAGGCATTCAGGCTTAATTCGGGGAACTGGAGCACAGATCCAATTCCCTAAATCAAGAGCCCCTCACCAACATCAAGGAACCTTCCTTGAGGGGTCTGTATCATATAGTGCATTCAACTGTCTGTCTTACAGTGCACTCAGGGTTGACTGCACTATAAGATACAGACAGTTGAATGCACTATAAGGTACAGACAGTTGAATGCACTATAAGGTAGAGACAGTTGAATGCACTATAAGATACAGACAGTTGAGTGCATTGTAAGAAACAGACAGCTGAGTGAAGTATGAGATACAGACAGCTGAGTGCACTATAAGGTACAGACAATTGAATGCACTATAAGATATAGATAGTTGACTGCACTAAGAAACAGACAGTCGAGTGAAGTATGAGATACAGACAGTTGAGTGCACTATAAGATACAGACAGTTGAGTGCACTATTACTGTAAGACACAGGTGAGTTAAAGTATTATCATGAGAGTCAGAACTATATCTCATTTGGTGTCAAAGCTATTACAAGTAGGCACAAAGAATGATCCTCCATTATTACTGACATTCACATACATACACATTGATACACAAACTTACACTCACAGACATACATACATACACCGACACACATTCGCAATTATTATTACAACAATCAAAATTAAGCGCTAGATCCATAAGGCTCACACTCAGATTGACACGCACAGAAACACTAACAAAAAATGAAATAAAATGTATTCCGTAAGTTTTTTCCTGCTCAAAGTATTCAGCACAGTACTAAATGCAATATGAATAGTTGAAAATTCTCACCTAAAGTATGAATTCAATGAGGTTTAAGTTGAGACTGAAGCAAGAATATGGATCAAGGGAAGAACAGGTGGCTGTGAGGTGCCAAGGGTAGCAAGTAGCACACAACGGGTGGCACTGAGGTGCCTGGGGAAGCAACAGGTAGCACCAAGTGCCAGGGGCAGCGAGAATCACTGTAACACCCTGCACTGCAAGCAGCCAGCAGGGAACTGAGGCGGTGACTCGAGTAGTCTACTGGCTGTAACTGCCACTACAATCTCACCCTCCCTCCGTACACCCCAGTACACCACCCCAACACGGCCACCATGTACCACCACCCACTACCAGCATCACTTCTAGCCGCAGCTACACCTATAGCCGTAATCACTATAGTCGCCACCGTAATCTTATCCACATCCACCATCGTCATGCGTATCCTCGAAACCATCTACAGGAAAACCACTACCACCCCTGACGCCATTAATTAACACCGCCGAAGCCATTAATATTGCCGAAGCTATTAACATTGCTGACACCATTAACATCGCAGTCACCACTAACACCTCAGCAGCAGCAGCAACAACAGTCACATGCCCATTCTCATCTGCAGGATGTGCCGAGGTCATTATCTGTCATGTCCTTCACTGTGCTCTCCTCAAGCGCACGTAGTGACGCGGCGGCTTCCTTCACTTAAATAATAATCTTTATTTCTACAAGTACATGTACAATGTATACAGGCCTACCTGGCATACTAATATAGAAAGCCCCTTGTTATGCAGAGCATTTCGGCAAATTAGGTCAATTTTGTCCCCAGGATGCGACCCACTGGTACCTATTTCATTGATAAGTGAACAGGAACAGCAGATGTCCTAAGGAAACACGTCCTAATATTTTCATAAGTACCGGGGATCGAACCCGGACCGCAGTGTGTGAGCTGAGTGCACTAGCAATCGAGCTACGGCAACCCGGCAGCATTAGAGATCTGTAGTACTCAAATATTTCTGCAGTGCCCGACTGTTGACGAATGAATGATGAATACATTTCTTTCTTTAGGTCACCTTACCTTTGGTGGGAGATGCCCCATGAGGTAGAAAATAAATTAGTAAGGACATCATTAACATCCCCCAACACTCAATATGATCTTAGAGAAGTGACATGTGATCATAAAGAGTGAACTTCACCTGCAAACAACCTATGCATTCCAGATTAAGAGATACATCAGTACCTGGCTCACGTGCTACTGTTAGATAAGGTAGTATCAAACTGGTGATATCAGACACTGACCGTCGCTCGAGCTGGGCAGTCTGGACTCTGAACTGTCACAATGGACAGTATTCAGGTACAGTTAACAAAGACTGGTGAATCCCCTCATTGTCATACGGAGGGGAGGGGGAGGGAGTATGAGATCCTTCTGATAAAGCATTCTGTAACATTACACTCCATTTTATTAGCACTATACATCAGGCATTTTTATACTTTGGTGCTAGAAAAATGACAGGATGGATAATGAGAACCTTCAAAACGAGGGATGCCAAACCCATGATGACACTCTGCAGGTCACTTGTTCTATCTAGGCTGGAATATTGCTGCACACTAACAGCACCTTTCAAGGCAGGTGAAATTGCTGACCTAGAAAATGTACAGAGAACCTTCACGGCGCGCATAACGGAGATAAAACACCTCAATTACTGGGAGCGCTTGAGGTTCCTGAACCTGTACTCCCTGGAACGCAGGCGGGAGAGATACATGATTATATACACCTGGAAAATCCTAGAGGGACTAGTACCGAACTTGCACACGAAAATCACTCACTACGAAAGCAAAAGACTTGGCAGACGATGCAACATCCCCCCAATGAAAAGCAGGGGTGTCACTAGCACGTTAAGAGACCATACAATAAGTGTCAGGGGCCCGAGACTGTTCAACTGCCTCCCAGCACACATAAGGGGGATTACCAACAGACCCCTGGCAGTCTTCAAGCTGGCACTGGACAAGCACCTAAAGTCGGTTCCTGACCAGCCGGGCTGTGGCTCGTACGTTGGTTTGCGTGCAGCCAGCAGTAACAGCCTGGTTGATCAGGCTTGATCCACCAGGAGGCTGGTCACAGACCGGGCCGCGGGGGCGTTGACCCCCGGAACTCTCTCCAGGTAAACTCCAGGTAAACTCCCGTGGACTAGCAGGCAACACACTCGCCTCATACACTGGGTGTCCGTGGTTCGATTCTCGACAAGGGTGAAAACATGTTTCCTTACACCTGCTGTCCCGTTCACATAGCAAGCAAGTAGGTACCTGGGTGTAATCGACTGGTGTGGGTCGCATCCTGAAGGTCAAGATTTAAGGACCCCATTGGTGCACTGACTTTCTTTCGTTATCCTGGGTGGCTGACCCTCCTAGGTTAAAAATCAGAACAAAATCTTATCTCTCTTGAAAAATTACATTAATATATATGAGGAATACAGTTATTTATTACATTAATAATGAAAGTATGGGGAATACACAATCTCTGGTAGAGAACCATTTATACAAGATTACTGGGAGGGGAATATGCTATATAGGGGTTATTACAATGATTTATTACACATCTATGCCCCTCATGGAAGGTTCCTTGATGTTGGTGAGGGGCTCTTGATTTAGGGAATTGAATCTGTGCTCCAGTTCCCCGAATTAAGCCTGAATGCCTTCCACATCCCCCCCTGGGCGCTGTATAATCCTACGGGTTTAGCGCTTCCCCCTTGATTATAATAATAATAATAATAATAATAATACACATCTATGAGAAATAGGAATCAAACTATCTTAACAAAAAGTACATTTATAATTACAGTAGTAGTTGACTGCAGTTCAAGGCTAGGCTTCCACTTGGACTCTTCATCCCGTTTCAGATATTTCTTCAGTGAAACAGATCTGCATGACAGTGTCTTCCATTGCAGACACTGCAAGGCTCCAGACGGACATCAACCAAATCTTCCAATGGGCTGCAGAAAACAATATGAAGTTGAACGATGAGAAATTTCAATTACTCATCCGATATGGTAAACATGAAGAAATTAAAACTTCATCAGAGTATAAAACAAATTCCAACCACACAATAGAGTGAAAAACTAAAGTCAAAAAGACCTGGGAGTGATCATGTCGGAGGATCTCACCTTCAAGGGCCATAACATTGTATCAATCGCATCTGCTAGAAAAAAATGACAGGATGGATAATGAGAACTTTCAAAACTAGGGATGCCAAGCCCATGATGACACTCTCCAGGTCGCTTGTTCTATCTAGGCCGGAATACTGCTGCACACTAACAGCACCTTTCAAGGCAGGTGAAATTGCTGACCTAGAAAATGTACAGAGAACCTTCACGGCGCGCATAACGGAGATAAAACACGTCAATTACTGGGGTTCCTGAACCTGTATTCCCTGGAACGCAGGCGGGAGAGATACATGATTATATACACCTGGAAAATCCTAGAGGGACTAGTACCGAACTTGCACACGAAAATCACTCCCTACGAAAGCAAAAGACTCTGCAGACGATGCAACATCCCCCCAATGAAAAGCAGGGGTGTCACTAGCACGTTAAGAGACAACACAATAAGTGTACGGGGACCAAGACTGTTCAGCTGCCTCCCAGCATACATAAGGGGGATTACCAATAGACCCCTGGCTGTCTTCAAACAGACAATGGACAAGCACCTAAAGTCGGTACCTGACCAGCCGGGCAGTGGCTCGTAACAGCAGTAACAGCCTGGTTGATCAGCCCCTGATCCACCATGAGGCCTGGTCACAGACCGGGCCTCGGGGGCGTTGACCCCCGGAACTCTCTCCAGGTCTTCCAAGACCATAAACCTCCACCCGGGTCTGTGAGTCTAGTTCTCTGCCTTCGGCAAAGCCTTAGCCTGTTCTCCAGAACAGGCCAATAATTATTGTTCATTTGTAAACAAGGAAGTACATGTGACACACTCGGTCGATTACCCTGTATACTACTGATCATCCTTACCCTGGACAGACAAGGATAATCATTATATTAATGGCATACAACACCTACAAGTGAATGAGTAAGACAGACACAGTTGGGTATACCCAACTGGGTCTGTGTCTTGCTCATCTCCACGCCCGGATAAATTTTCAAGCACCCCAAATGGAAATAAATCACACTGACGTTAATGAGTTTTCCTAGGATAAATCTAATTAATGTCCTTTTTGTGTTCCTATAACATCTATGTGCCCTCAAGACCACTGTAAAATATTTTGTTGTGTATATAGACTAAATAAAACGTATCTTAACTTCTGCCTATATTAGTACAGATAATATCTCGCTACTTATATATATATATATATATATATATATATATATATATTTTATATATATATATATATAATATATATATATATATATATATTATATATTATAGTAGCGAGATATTATCTGTACTACGTAGAATATTTATTTAAATTAATATTTATTAAAGTCTCGGTAAAAATTCAAATGAAATCCTAATAGTGGTGATTGAGTTTTCATCGAAACATTGATAAATTTGTATAGCGATAAATATTCTAAGAAGACTGCTATTCTTTTCCACCTTTTGTGAAGTACACCTGCAGGTCCTAAGCAGTTATTTTTAGACAGACAACTGCTGCTGTGATGATTCAACCCTCCTTGTCTGCCACCCTGTATCAGAATAACATGTAACTTAGCTATTATACTACCAGGTGTTAAGCACACACACATACACACACTCTCTCTCTTTCTATCAAGGAGAGCAAATGCACTCCCAGTATTTAAGAAAGGGGACAGATAGCGTTAAACTACAAATCAGTCTCAGTGGCATTCATAATGTGCAAGGTTATAATTATCAGATGAGCGGCGGAGCGCCTAGAAATAAGAGGGTTCATAAGCGACAACCAGCACGGTTGAGAGATACCTGGACTTTACCTGGTAAATTCTGTTTTACAAATCTACTAGAGTTCTACGACAAGCTAACAGAAATGAAGCAGGAGAAAGAGGGATGGGTAGATTGCATATTTTTGGACTGTAAGAAGTCTTTTGGCACAGTATTTCACAAGAGACTAGGATAAAACCAGAGCAGCAAGCAGGAATAACAGTGAAAAGGCATTGCAATGGATCAAGGAATACTTAACAGGAAGGAAACAAAGAGTGATTGTCCGATATAAGTGTGGGGATTGGCTCGTATGACAGAGTGAGGTTAATAATAAATAATATCATTGTTTCTACAAGTACTTGTACAAGGTATACAGGCCTAGCTGACATCAATGACATACTACTATATAGAAAGCCCCTTGTTATG